GATCTTGGGAGAACAAATGGCATATTAACCTGTTGCTGGTCACCGGCTACCATGAGACCACATCTCTTGGCATTGCTCCACTGCGTTTTAGACTTGTAGGTGCAAGGCTCTGAATGTGGCCTCCTAAGAAAACCACCTGCTTCGGTTTGGGAGGCCGTGTAGCGTCCCAGCGCATATGTATATATAATTTTAAACAAATAAATGAATAGAAATTTTAGAGCTATCAACTGATTGGACTGTGGTGATTTCGGCTGGAAGAGCATTCCAAATGGAGACAAATCTTAGTGAGCGAAAGTGAGAGCGTACTTCAACGGTCGCCTCAAAAGGTGTGGTAATAATGTTCCGGTATTGTGCTCGCAATGGGGGTGGTTTGACGTACTTTAAATGTTGTATTTCATTATCAAGTAACGTCTTATTCGCCTATAACTCAGTAAGAATGATCCCAGGTTCTGGAATGTTTTCTTATGAGAATTGCGTTTCAGATCAATCATTTACTTAGTTGCCCGTCTCGGTTCTCGATCTAACAGATTTAATTCTTTCTTAATATCAGGGTAAGTAACGTCATTTAAAGCTTTGAGATGAGGCCATCATTACGTTTTAAACGATGGTAGGAACATCTTAGGGCTGATTGCGTCGAATCATCTATGCATAAAGTAGAGAGTCTCGTTGGCCTTGGCAACCTCTCTTGTGTAGCTTGAGCTAATGTCTAGGCAATCTGTGGTTCCAAGACCGAGATCACGCTCTGGAGAGACAATCGGGAACGGATTCCCGTGGAGAGTCTGTGTTATTTTTTAAATGAGGCAGAATAATCATGACATGACATTTTGTTAGGTTGAGTTTTAAGAGATTGTCTGCTGCCCATTCCTCTATTGTTGTAGGGTCATTTTAAAGCTCAAATGAGTCCTTTTCGGTTTTTATGGACTTTCAGATCTTTGTGTCGACTACATAGGTCAGTAAACCAAGCTAAATTTATCTGCCACATTGTTGATGAAGATTAGAAATAAGAGTACATCTATGATTGCTCCTAGAGAAACTCCAGGTTTTGAGACCTGAAGACCTGCTTTCCGGATGGTTTTGGTGTCAAGGTAAAAGCTGGTCAATGAGACCTTTTATTCAAACCTTTACTGTGAGGAGTACATGAGGTACCGTGTCGAAGGTTTTCCGAAATCTAAGAATATCTTATGATCCCAGCAAGTCGTCTAGCTTTCCCGTGCGATGAGAAGGTTAGTTTCACATGATTTGCCTTTCACAAACCAGCGTTGGGGTTTATGGAAGAGGTCGCTTTTGATCATCGATTCACTCATTTGTTCATTGACCAATCTTTCCACCACTTTTAAGACTTCGGAATAATGCGACTGGTCTGCAACAGATTGAAAAGATAGTGACCTGATTCAATTCTTGCGTAAGTTGTTGTGAATCCAGTTGATGCCTGAACAATTCACATACCGATGTACTGATGACCCCCCACTCAACATCGAAGCAACACCCACGTTCGTCCTAATAGATGTTGGCCCATCAACAATTGAAAAGTTCAGCATGGCTATCGAACAAATCAAGAGTGGCAAAGCAACGGGAACAGACAATATTCGAGCAAAGGCACTGGGAACAAAAGTAGCAGTAATGCAAAGATACTCGAGATTCTCTTCTGAAAGATTTGGAATTAAGAACAAGTACCAACAGACTGGAACGAAGGACACCTGGTCAAGATACCGAAAAGGCCATCTCAGTAGGTTTGAGAACTGCAGAGGCATCAATCTTTCTTCAGTACCAGTAAAAGTCCTCAATAGGCTGTTGTTAAACAAAATTGAGGACTCCATAGACTCTCAACGTCGTGATCGACAGGTTGGATTTCGTAAGGATCGGTCGTATACAGACCAAATCGCAACACTACGGATTCTTGTGGAACAATCAATTGAATGAAATTCATCACTCTACATCAACTTCATTGACTAAGAAAAAGCATTTGATAGAGTGAACTAGACAACAGTATAGAAGCCTCTTCGAAACTACGGCGTGCTTGAGAAGATAGTCAACATCATGACTTGTCTCTTTTATCACACGAGCAACAACAGATGCAGGAGATGACGACAAGTGTAGCAGCAGCCTCAGCAGCAGTAGGTCTCAACAAACACAAATGGAAAAGCAAGATTCTCCGATGCAACACAACACTTCGCGGAGATGCTCTAGAGGATGGAAAAACCTTTACATATCTGGGTAGCATCGTTGATAAACACAGTGGATTTGATGCAGAAATGGAGGCACAGATCGGTAAGCAAGAGCAGCATATATGCAACTGAAAAGATCTGGAACTCAAAACAACTGTCAACCAACAACCAGGTCAGAATTGTCAATACAAATGTCAAGACAGTTCTACTGTATGTGGCGGAAACTTATAGAACTACAAAAGCCACCATTCAGGAGATATAAGTGTTTATTAATGGCTTCGGATCGGTTGGCACTATCAGCAACGACCTACAGTAGGAGAGAACAAACAAGAACAAACCAACGGAGGAAGAAATCAAGAAGAATCGCTCAATGTGGATGAGGCACACACTGAGGAAAGCATCTAACTGTGTCAGAAAAAAAACCTCACTTGAGGTTTTCAAAGCCAAATAAGGAAAGACCAAAGAACAAATTACGCTAATAAACGAAGACTGTGTAGTGTCAGTTATTATTTTAGGCCCATATACCTTATTCCAGCTTTCGGACAAACCAATCTATTCATTCTACTTGAGTCACATTTTGACCTAGTTAATTATTCGCTTATCAACCTTGACTGTTTTTATATGAGCGTAGGTGTGTGTACACTTCTTATCCCATTATTCATCACATGTCTGTAACTTATTTTTGTTTAACTATAAATATCGATTAACGCTTGGTTAAATAGGAGTTGGTTTACCCGCCATCTCCACTGAGCGTCCTTTCTCTTCTCTCTATTCCATTAGCTGCATATACAAAACATATGTATTCAAAAGTCCATTCTCGTCATTTGACTTATTTAATTCGGTTATTGACTAACGCGTTTTAAGTCGATGATTATATACGAGGATAGGCGACATACATATTTCGACAACGATCATTCCTACGATCAAATTGGAGTCAGATTTCGGACCACTAAAGTGGAGAACCCTTCGACAACATCGTCCAATCTAAATGATGACAAAATAAAGGGCCCCATAACAGACATAAGAAGAATGACTAAAAATTGGGTAGAACTTGAAAGGAAGGCCCAATACAGAGTGGGTCGGCTGGTGCTGGTCGGAGGCATGTTCTCCATTGAGGGTCACAGGCATAAACAAGTGAATGCGTCATGCTTATCGTTTTTGCGCTTTAAACTGTTTACCATGTTGCAAACTGTCTCCAGCTGGTTTTTTGCTGTAACACTATTCTTTTCGCTTCACGTATTCATACACAACGTCGACAAGACGTCATATACCGTTATACTACCGGATTTCTTATATATTTGTTCAATATTCCTTTGATCATAATAATATTCAGTATACTGAATCATTTTATGTCTCTCATATTTTAATCTACGAAGTTATCCTTGACTCGTTAAATATAAAGGGCTCTGTTATGTTCAATATGATATCTCATAATCGATCGGGGCAACATCTAACAAACATATCTCACAGAAAATGAGTGATACAACGACCTTTTGAAGGATGCCGACCATAGAAATCAGTACGTATGACGTACATTTAAGTGAGAGTATCAGGATATATACTGAGAACTGTTTGGCAGTTTTTCATGCTATTACCGATTTTTCTTCTGAATAGTGAACGTGTCCCATGTGTCTGCTTAAAGTTAACGCAACTTGCTCGATTCCAGCATCATCTGGATGAACAGTCTGTGTATAAGTTAGAATCGATACCATTTGTTTCCTTTTAGCCGGTATATACCAATGGCTAGAGAAGCGAAACTATTTCTCCAGAAGTTTTTAACGTAACAACAGCGGTGTCGAGTCACCTAGACTGGTGACCACATTGCAACCTGATCGATAGCATTCGATCTGCACTAATAATAAGGACTAGACACGCATGACATTGGTCACCCAGTGATCAATCAATTGTGATTACATCTCAGTCTTACAGGAGGTCGGTCGCGGCGCGGATAGCTCAGTGGTAACGTCTCTGACTGTGAAGCTGGGTGACACGGGATCAAATCCGCCAGGGAGCACCAGTTCCCTCGAAATTTACAGGTACACCTTGCTGAAGAGTGCCAAGTAGCACGAAACCCGGGTCCAGGGTTTGCTTCATGTTTCTGGCACAAAATTATATCGCTTTCTCGTGACGTGTTCAAAGTGGTGCTGAAACTGGGAAATAAACATTATTTAAGTTGTCTGAAAACTATGAATCTGCAGTTAGTTCATCTAAAAAGAATTTGGCATGATGTAAAGTTGGTGTATTACATTCTCTTCATCCCGAAAGCCTTTAAATCTGTCCTTGTAGTAAATCATCCTTAGAAAGAGACCGTTTAGGAAATAGTAGAAATATTGAGACATTTTATAGTCTTTTCTAAAAAGACTAGGCCAACATAGAACATCACAAATTCAGCGCGATGTTACACAATTTAAGTGGTTACATCACTTCTGTTCAACTCCAGCAGATCAATATCTTTAAGTGTTACTGCACGGTCGGACTACTAATTAGGTTGTTATTGCGAGTTAGCTTCTGCGAATAAATCAGGAAGAACCATATCCTTTCTTAGTCGGGGAAATTTCTTTTACTTTTTGGATACAGCTTCCGAGGACCAAGCTATCTGCTAACTCTGCCCAGCAAAGTTTAAGTCATGGTGCATGATAAGTACTTCAATTCGTGGTACGAAGGGAACAATTTGTTGCTTCTACATTCTTAATAGTTAAAATAAAGTCCAATGTATGCAGAAACTTTGAGAACCTGATAAAAGCCTTAAGATTTGGTAGTGACTGTGTTTTTCTTCATATCAAGGTTCGGTTTTTGTTACTGAACATTGCTCAAAATCACCATGTACTCATATACACAGCGGCTATTGCAAATGTAAGTCAATGACCTTGATCGTAATGTTCCTCAAAGGTAGTGGTAGTTTCTCGTTAATACATGACAATTCTGAAGTTTGTTGAGGTAAAATGATATGCGTCTGTTTTCATATAGTTTATGATTGTCCTTACTGATTAGAATAATATGTGTGCGGCGTTAATTTCGGGTGGCCATTTGAATTAAATTTAACTCAAACCATACCATCATGATTTCAGCATTTCCAATTTACACTGTTTTCAACATTTCGGAACAATTTGACTTTAAGTAATGTAGTAAAACATTGTCATAAAATAAAAATATCAACCTACTCAGAATTTGTATATTATTTCGTGGTGGTATTTAAAACACATTCACAGAAGTGTGTGGTTTAAAGGAAACTTCTACTCCATATCAACGTGCTGAATTTATTACAAAGGAATTCTGTGACTTATTTCTGAGACAAATGTGACCAAATTCAAATGATTGTCTGTTGGTTTTACTCACACATGTGAACGCTTATGTGTTGAATAAGAAAACAACTGTTTCAATTAATTGATTATCCATTTAACGATTTGGTGGCGCTTAATGCATATAATACGGGTTTAATTTAACCCCCCGCAGTTGACTTAATGCAATGAGCATGTATTTTTCTGTTCCTTCCCAAACCAAACTCGTATTAATAAGTTTTCCTTACTATCATCGACACAATCATTTTGACTCTTTTCCTATTCATCAACTTATCGTAATGGTGCGATTCGATAACTTGGTACAACAAGATCAAGGAATATTGGAATTCATGTCTGAAAGAAGAAGAGTGGGTGGATCTGCGAGGCTGTAAACAGTTCTGAGCCAATTTACGCAAATTCTCCTACCTCTGATGAGGCTATCAGCATAAATTTAACTAAATATTCTAAATCTACCAAGCACTGCTGTGACTAAGAGTCAGTGGGTTCGTGGACTGATACCATGTCGTGACTTGGGTCTTCCAACCTACTGCATCAACAGTCATGGGCATGAGTAACACTAACATGAAAACCCATGTATATTTACTACACATAAAGTTACTTGTTATAACTCTTCCAATCATTTATGGTTGAATACGGAGGTTAATCAGTAGTAATACGCGTTTAAAAAATGGTCTGTCAGTACCTTCTATCACATATGATAAATACATTTATTTGTAAAATTCCTGTTTTTCTTTTTTTCTCAATCTCTAGGATAACTCAGATACATGCAAAGATTGAGTTTGACTCAGCGCCTTCACATTCTAAAGGCGTTACATGGATGCTTTATTCTCACGCTTTTATGCACAGGAATTGTCGGACTGGTTTTATTCAGTACGATTATTAGTCAACCTATTCGAAATTGTCCTATACTTCATGCTATATACACTGTGTTCTGGCTTTCTCTTGGCCTTTCTATTTTACAAATCATATTAGCCATAATTTTCTTTATTTGGTTTCTGTTCACATTTTTTTGCCCTCCAAAATCAGTTGGTAGTGTTACAAATTCAAGCCAACCTGGAGTTCAAGTTAATCAACTAGTTTATTCATCGGATAATCCATTTGATTCTTGTACATCAGCTGTTGGTGTCCATTGTGGTCAAGTTTATGGACCTTCTTATTTTTCACGTCCACGTTGTGCAAGTGATGATACATTTGATACATCTTCAAGTATATGCGACTGTTGTCAATTCAGAATTGGATGGTTATGGTTTGGTTCCATATTTCTTGGAATTTTATCAGTTGGTTTAATATTAAGTTTGATATTGGTAGGAAACTTTTTATCTGAAATGGATACATTGTTTAACTCAGAGATGGCCAGCACATTTGTAGAGGCTCGTGTGAGCTACTTTAGTGCCAAGAGTTCTAACAATGCACTGAAGTGTTGGGACATAATACAGAAAACTTTCCAATGTTGTGGTCAAATCAATTACACTGATTGGAGTTCATATGGACAGAGTAAAGTAGAAAGTGTACTACCGATTTCATGTTATTTCACTGATAATATTTCAGCTAATCGACATATTTATACTTCAGGTTGTTTAGATCTTATCACTAAGTCATTAAATTTACAACTGACTACATCTCGTGTTTATTTAATCGTAACATTTATTTTACTGGTGGTCACATTTTTTGTTGATTTTGGTTACACTTTATATGTTGCATATACAACTCTTGTTGAAAACCATGTAATGGAATATGACAGGAGCAATATGGAAGGAGTATGGCAACATACATCAGAAGGAATAACAACAAGAAAAATTCCCTCGTCCACTGCCATCTCCGGCCATTATCATGATGAATTAGAGTCTATTTCCAGCAGCAATTCAAGTTCTATAATGGTTCAGAACTCTATTCATCAATCACATAGGAATAGCTGACATTCTTTTCGAGAAAAGTATGAATCTAGTCACAAAACAATATTTCGTGGATGTAACATAAGGAGTTTAAGTGCATTCAAACAAGATGCATGTGGTTTTCCTATAATGGACTGATTTATGCCATGATTCTATTGTTTATCTCATGATATCATAAAGCTTATATCAGATTTGTATTTGCATTTTAATGAAATATATTGAAAAATATGACAAATCACATATCTATTATTTTTGTTTTGGAAAACTTATTATTTTACATTTTTATGATTCCTAATGTTTGTCAGCACGCTGATTACATTTACGTGTCTATTGTGTGCATCATTAAACCAATAATACTTTGAATTTTTTGTCTTTGCGTTTACTATCCCGTTATATGAAGTAAGGGTTTCATACTTAATGTAGAGTTGCTTGGATTTTACTTTTCGATTTTGTATGATTCTCTTGTTCATTTATTGAAAAAATTTAAAGTTTTATATGCCTGTGGTTTTCATACTAGAAATTAGTTTAAATAATGTTTCTTGTTATTGTAATGAATTCTCATCTAAACATTATTGATGATTTTTGCTTTAACTAATGAATATATGATGTTGTGGGAAAAACGAAGATGTATACTCTTTTCGGTAATTAAAAAATCTGTGTAAAAAGTGCTTCGGTTGAGCAAAGTTGAATGATGCTTATCTTTACTGATCGTACCAGGTCGTAAAATTAGGCTGCTAGGTATTCACTATAACTAATTAGCTGAACAAGAAGGAAGACTTTGAAAAATAAATAATGAAAAGTGTTTTAAGGTAATTTATAAGATTTCATGGATCTATGTTTCATAATTAGTGATATTCACTGTAAGGGGATAGCTGTAACTCAAAGGTTTGAACTAAGTTGAGATATTAAAGTGTGGTAACATGTAACTACATAACACAGATTTGATTACTCAGTGGATGATGCATTTCTATGAAATTGCGTTTATACCTTATGAACAAGCATTCACTATTAGTTTGCGTTGAGGAATGAGAAAGTAAATGTTGCATCCACCTTGATAAATGCGGTATTACACCCGATTTTTGAAAAGCTTTTACAGATGTTGGATATCTTTTTAGATATTTCCTTTATTATTATGTGCAACAATCATTTAATAGCAAAGTAGAACCTAGTATGTATATACATCGGTTCAAGCTGCCCTACCTAATTATCACAGAGAGATGAAACCGTAGCTACCACCTTGATGTAGTGGTCAGGCTTGACTGTCTGGACGACGCAGTCGAGCTATATTGGCTGCAACACATGGTCCTTCAGGTACTACCATGCCAGGCAGGTCGTTTGGAAAATGGTAAGAATAAAAGCAGGAACTTAAAGTCTGAGGGTGAAGTTGTACTGCTGATTAGAGAGGTATGACAGCTACAAGGTATTTCCCTGAAAATCTCACTTCTCACCTTACCTTACGGATTTCCATCTCCGTTTGTGAGGTCTTTTGAAGTACGAATCTAACACATCAAAAACTTTCCATAAAAATGATCTGCGTGACCGGGTTTTGACAGTTATCCCTTTGTTTTTGTGGCCATGCTCCTATTTCATTAATCCAGCTCCTTTTTAGGTCTCTCAAGAAGAAATATCCTTCCACAGTGTGGGCATACGGGAAATGACAACTACACTAATACCTTTATCAGCACCCGTGATGTGTAATATGTGTATTGTATTTGTTTACTGACAACAATAATCGTAAAAGTTCTCAAAAAGGCAATATAATTTGAAAGTCGCCTCATCAAAGTTTTGGGAGATCTGGATAATATAACTAGCTTTTTCACAACAGATATAGTTCATAAATTAAAGGGGTTGATCTTAAATTCCTCAGTTCGAAGTTAGACTGATACGGCCTGATAAGATTTAGTCATGTATTTTCATTTTGGTTTTTTTCTCAGTTTAAAAATTTTCATAAAATATTCAAAAAATGAAGAAAATTTGAGCGAACAAGTATTTTTAGTAACTTCATCATCAGGCTTTACAGTTATGGGTCCATAATTATGGTATTTTACAAGGGCCAAAATGTTAAGAATGGTCAACTTTGGCACCTGTTACGTCATATATACTTCACAATTGTGTTGTTTGTAAATTAGAAAGGTCATTTAATAAAGGTCAGAATGATTTGGAGTAAAGTGTCAGGTTACAATCAGTATAATAGTAAATATAACAAAATGAAAAAAGTCGTGTGGATGAAATACATGGTGGGAGAATTTCATCTTGTTAATCAAGGTAATAATGATATTAATTTTGTTGTGTGAGTATAATGTGCAATAAGAGGGGTGTTATCAAGGTAACTACGACTAAAACGAATCCATGTGAATCTGGAAAGGTGAATGTGAAGATCAAGATAGATGTAACCCAAAAACTTGGGAGGGGGTAAGAGGTTTATAATATCCAGTTAAGGTATCCGGTGATCCAGTTGTAGGTCAAGGTATATGTAGAGGTGGGATCTACATAAGTTCGGTTTTCCGGAGTTGATTCAGATGGCTTCGGCTATGTATAGTAGCCGTAATCTTGTTCCTTGAGGTAGATTTTGTGGAACTTGATACGAAACAGAGAAATCTTCCTATGTTTTAATGCGATGTTCACTGTCTACCAAGTGAGAAAGAATGGTTCTGTCAATCGATTTATTAGCTCCGCCCAACCATGCTGGTACATGTTCACGAACGCGCAAGGATAAAGCCCATCATTGTTTCTCACTTATCATTTAGCTTATGTCTAATTGGTCTAGCATATGAATCTGTAATAAGACTGATATTAAAAGAATGCTATTTTTATCGAATCAATTAGAGGGTGAACGAACATAAATCGTTAGGTTATACTAAATAATATTGTTATTTAACTATGGTTTTCTGAAAGATTTGGATAACTCTTCAGGGACGTGTAAGATTCGTCTTACATTCCGATATTAATCCCTTAAGATATATATGGATGCAATCATAGTGAACGTAGGAGACCAATTGTAGGGAGAGACTGTATCAGATCTATTGTTCCGGGTCTTAATTCATCAAAGAGTTTATTTTGTCTTTTTTAACCTCCTTCTCACCCTCACTAATTAGATTTTTCCTCCTTTTGTTTACCATCCTAAAAGTTAGTCATAAACAGCGTAGATCCTATCACAATTGTGCATTAATCCAACTCGATCAGATTGAAGGGTAATAAATGTACATTTCTGACTTATATCACTCAATATTTCCAACTACTGATCAGCTATCGCACAAACCCGAAGCTGGTAGTCTGCATTTATCAACAGGGTTCAGACTGACAGTCAATAAATTCTTGGAGTGATACAACATTTTGGTTTGTGCGATGTTACTTTTATTTCAACTTACTTCTATATCAAATAACATTTCAGTAGTTATAATTTCCAACAACATTAAAGACACATATTTTAAATAAGGACAAACTTCAGTAAACATAACACAGTTTGAATCATCGAATAAATAATCAAAATTCTATTGCCAAGGTTATAGAACTATAGTTCTGGTAACCATAAAAATGAATCACTATTAATAGATTGATTACAAGTTGTTTTTCTTTATTTGGTCCAGTCATTTGAGCGTTATAGTTTTATTCATTGTTCCATTTCAAATCAAATGACCCTGTTCAAAGTGCATGTGATTTAAATTGGTCAGGTTGGATTGTGTTGGTTATTTATTAAATCATTCTTCAACAACCTTTAAAACAATGAAAATTGATAATTGATTATAATTTATTTGGATACAAATAACTTGATATTTATGAAAAACTTATTTTGATGATTTTGGATTATTTTCAGAATGGGGTGTGTGGAGATTGTAGTAATTTTTAATAGTTGAACTCATAAGTCGATTTAAGCTAGACAACTATTAAAAACCTGGAAGCACTGAATGACCGTTTCGTCTTGGTATGGAACTCCTCAACTGTGAGAATCTTGCATGCTAGACCCGAACTCAAGATCTTCGGTCTCGCGAGCAAATGCTTAATTTCAGGTAGATACAGGTATCTACCTCAGAAGTGTTGAGCAAGATCATGGATCGACTGAAGTGAGGCATTAACACCGCTGGATGCCAGCTCAGTGGTCTGGAGGTTAGGCGTTCGTTCGAGAGATCGGATGCTCTAGGTTCGAGTCCCGTGTGCAGGATGGTGAGTTCTGTATTAATTGAAGGTAACGTTTATCACGAATTAAGCTAAACAAGTGATAAGAACTACAGAGTATAATGAAACTGCTTCATTCTATGTTGAAATTTCTCACCAATTTAATTGAGAGTAAGGCAGAAAGTGTATGATAATAGTCAAATGATGATTGTACTATAGAAAATGTAGATCAATAACTATCACCTCAGTGACTAGATGATATCATGTACTATTCAACTTTATGTAAGACTGTTGAGTAGTCACAATATAGGAACAACTAACTAAACAGTACCTTCAGGTTTTTGCTAGTTCTTCAGCGAGTTTTGTTCTACTGGGTATGGTTGTTAGATCCGAATTCAACTTTCTTCCTTTACTCAGGTTTGGGACCGCCAGTAACCCCAGAACAACTCTAGCATAGATTTGTTTAATCACTACTACTAGCATCTAATCTGAACATTCAAATGGAATAACTACATAGTGAATTTCATGTGTTTCTAATTTTTACTTCTTTATTTGACAAAAAACATGATTTTAAAACAATAGTTCTTATGTTGTGTGCGTCCAAATTCTTCTAGAGATATGACGTTTCGTGAGTATTACTAAACAAAGTTGACCGCAAAATGTTTTCTGTTGGTAGACAGTGTGGTCATATGGCATAGTTGGAAACTGTCAAGTAATTCGACCTAATTTTTAGAGGTCGATATATACATATGTCAATAGAGGGTTGTAAAGGTTGTCATACTTCACTGAAATCATGAAGCAGTCAACATTAGACCATAATTAAAGACCTAGAACTATTGGATAGCTGTTTCGTCCTAGTATAGGATTATTCAGCAGTGGCCATGATTTCACTAATAAAAGTATTGACCGAATACTTCAATGGATATATGATACTAGGCAATGAATAATTCATACCTATCATCAGTGGTGACTAATCAGGTTGAATTAGTTCTATCCATCGGATTTCAAGTTTTGTTTATTGGAACACGATGATCTTTTCATTAATGAGCTCTAAAAGGAAAATAGTTCAAATCAATGGAATTTTAACTTATTAAGGTTTGAAAAGGTATAAACTATTGATCAGTTTTCTAATCACTGATAAATTGTTGATGAATATATAATCGATAGTTGTATCATTACAACGGTTCTGTTGAACAGTATCAATAAAGAAACATTCATAAAATATTACATAACTCTAAATTACAAATATGTAAATTTTGCATAATTTGCAATTAGAAGTGAATAGTTAACTAATACAATGATGAAATAGATTTATACCTGTATTTACGGACAATTTCCATATCAGAATGGGTTTTGTGGAGATTGTAGTAATTTCAATAGTTGAGATCATGAGTCAATTGAAGCCAGATCATCATGGAAAACGTGGAAGCATTGGACGGCTGTTTCGTCCCATTGTGG